CCATCCGATCGACACCGGTAACCACAACCCTGTGTGTCTACCTCTTCGCCGAACTTCGTTAGGTGAGCATGAGACTGTTCGGAAGGAGATCGCTTCCATGTTAGCGATGGGGATTCTCCTCCTACCGAAGAAGGACGGCACTTGGCGTTTCTGCGTCGATTACCGCAAGCTTAGCGACATTACGGTTAACGACAAGTATCCGTTACCCCGTATCGACGACATGCTGTCTGCTTTATCGGGCGCACGATACTTTTCCAGTCTTGACGCAGCGTCGGGTTATTGGCAAGTCCCTGTGGAAGCGTCCGCCATACCTAAGACGGCTTTCATCTGCACCGAAGGCTTGTTTGAGTTTGTCGCTATGCTTTTTGGGCTGCACAACGCGGCTGCTACCTACCAGCGAATGATGCAGCAGATCCTTGGCGACTTGCTGTGGAAGTGTTGTCTCGTGTATATTGACGACATCTTAGTGTTCGGCAGTACATTCGAGGAGCACAACCGCAATCTTCGTGAAGTCTTGAGACGAATTCGTGAGCATGACCTCTTGCTGAAGGTGGCCACGTCGTGACTGACAAAGATGTCCAGCCGGACAAGAGGAAGGTTCACAAGCTCCGTCGTTTCCCAGTTCCTACTACTGTTAGCGGTCGTTTCTAGGTCTAGGTTCCTATTACCTAGACCTAGAACGACTGGAGAGTCGTTCACGCCCACACTCTACCAAAGGTTATTGCTGGGAGGCGTCCTCTCTCAATTTCAGCGATTGGTCGAGCGCGGGATCGAACCGTGGACTTTCAGTTTGTTAGATTGAGGCTCAGACCTGCACAGACAGAAGAAATACCACGGTACATCCTTACCAGCACGAGTGATGTCTTTGTAGCAATAGTGTACAGATGATCTAGAAATCTGTTGAAGTCGTCCCCCCGCTCCACGACATATTTAATTTACCCCGGAAACAATCCGCGTGTAGCCCCACCAATACTCGCCCATATCCCCCTTCGGTGGACTCCCGTATGTCACAGAAGCCGTACCGTCTACTCTATACCTCCCTAGACCAGCTGTCATGCCCGAGTTGGTAGGAGGTTCCTTTCGGATTCC